TCCAGTTTGTCAAAACATAGATGTGATGTGTGTTTTTAGGAATAGAAACAAGATGGTTCATGCATCTGTCTCGAGAACATTTCCATATTGATGTGACAGGCAAATTGGATGAAGAAAGATCGACATCAAACATTAATCGATTATTAGACTAATGAAGAGAGGCACACCACACATACGGAAATGATTTCTCTTTCATGATCCGAAAAGTTTGGTGCATTTTGTCGATTGATCTTGGAGATACTTTTGGTGAGAGACAAGCAGCTACCTAAAAGACTCCTTCCAAAACTTATCTTGCTTGGCCTATGTCTACATCATGTATTTGGTGCTGTCTTCTTGCACAGCAGATTGATCACCTGTGAACAAGGTTGGTGCAGCTGCCCCAGTTTGGTCATATAGACAGCTATCACAAGCAGTCGCAAGAATAGGGAAGGAAAGGCTAGTCCAGGTTTTAGGGAATAATGTGTAGTAGATCACAAGTTGTACAAGCAAAACATTACTGTTCAAAGTAGATGATTGGAGAAGAGAGATGTCATTCACATACCCAGTGCCAGCGAAAAATGCTAAGGGAATCATCAACTCCCATCCATTTATATTCATGCTGTTCGACAAGAAACATAGGATTAATGTTGCTGTTCCAGAAAACAATTGAGTCAAGCGTTTGAAAGACCGTCAGCTGCTTACCAGATGGAGATGGCATCCACTGCGATCTCAGCATTCTTAAGATTCCCAGTCAGTAAGATCAGTATTCTGTAGTACCAATTCTCCAAGCTGTTTGGGAAGAAGAATATATACAGCGCTAGTGAGGTGCCAGCATCAGGAACAAATGAGATTCTACAGTGACTTCAGATGCTTATTATTTAGGTCAAAATTCTGTATAGAAGAAACCCTTATGCTATGGATGAAGGATTTAAGCCATGGCAGGAAGCTTCTTTTCTGACTTCATGGCAAGTGTTAACGTAAATTTGCTGATAAAAGAAAGCTTCACTCTATCTATATCCACAATTTCTGTCACATATTTTCCGATGTGTTTATTGTTTGTAAATGTTATTAGCAATTAAATTACTCTGAATTTTATGGAAACAGAGAGGCGAGAGAGAAGTGACTCACCACAACATGACACCGGAAGCAGCTGAGAGCTTCAAGAACTCCCAGAGACCAGTAAATGCTTCCATGGAGAAGCCCTTCCAGGTTTCGGGGCAGCCTCCACATGCGACGTAGCCAAATTGACAGAAAGCACCAACCCACCAAGAAAAGTTGAGGGTGACGGTGGTGCCAATCAAGCCGAACTGAAGCTTGGACACGAAGAGCCACGTAACGAAGAGGTGGACCACCAGGGAGATGGCGGCGATGATGGCGTTGACCGAGTTCTTGAGCTGGCATTGCAAGAACCTCTGCAGTGGGAAGATGAAGACGAAGGAGAAGTGCAGCGGGATGAACCACATGGACACCGTCCCGGCTTGCTCCGCCAACTCCGGCGGCTGGCCTGTTAGGATCAGGATCGGGGTCGCGAAGAAGTAGAGCGGGAGGAGGAGGACAGCACACAGGAAGAGCACGATCCATGATCGCTGCATGTACACGCCCAGCATGTGGTACTTCTTCGCCCCGAAGGCTTGTCCGCACAATGTCTCGAGGGCACTCGCCATGCCTAACTGCGTGTCAAGGGAAGTGAGTTCTCGCTGGTACCAACAGACGAAGAGAAACATGGAAGAGTACTTTGCAAGCTGCCTATTGGAAGATCAAATCGAACCCAAGGGAGTGTAAAGCCATGCAAAGCAGGCATTTATTGCTGCAACGCATGATTGTCTCGTACTATGACTTCCATCCTAATCACAGCTATGCTAACATAGAAACGAGAGAGATTAAGATCAAATTAAATAAAAAAAAATTTAAGATGGAATATATATGTATATATATTAATTTTTTTAAAAAAATATATTAAACTTCTAAGGAATATATTTTTTTTCGAAGACAATAAATAATATAATGTCAAGATATATCTCTGAACATCAACTTTAAATCTTTAAAAAAATTAAGAAATTAAGAATAGTATTTACCAAATCATTTCCGTGAAGTTGATTTAATGCTATATTAAAGAGATAATAAAAAATATCTCTTTAACATAAATTCAGCATTTAATGTTATCATCTCTTTATGATGTTTCTAAGAGAAGCTCAATACCAAATCCATCAACTCAATTATTATAATAATTAAAAAATATTATATTTCTTATCAGGAAGATCTTGAAATATAGATTATCATTCTTGTGGCTTTGATATCATGCGAAGAAAAAAAAAATCATATATAAATATAATCATTTCTTAAATAGTTGTAACAAAGTACTATTACCTCAAGATCAATCTAAACAAAAGAAGAAATCAAAGTTATGTTAAATTTGTTAAAAATAAAAAACATTCACAAGATTTTAGCAGAAAACTTTAGACTTAGATGGATCTATATTTATAGATTTCATCTATTTATAGGTGTAAAATAATAATTTAAATCAAAAAATTCTTAAAATCTTCTAAATAATGCTGTTAAGATAATCTTAACAGGAACAAAGTTGCTGACACTGGTTGAATCGATGAATCAAGATCAGTCAAAGATACACAAAACAGAGACAAGAATCATACCATCAATCCGAAGTTGAAGCCGACGACGACGGTGTTTGCAATGGTGATGGACGCAAGCTCGAGATTGCCGAGGTGGCCAGCGAAGGCCTGTGTGATGACGTTCATGCTGTAGCTCACCACTCTGCTGAATATGGCAGGGGCTACGATCCTCCATAGCTTCTTCGACTCTATCCAACTCCTCTGTACCAATCCCAATCCCAATCCCGATTCCAACTCCTCCTCCTCTCCTCTGCTTCCGTCCAGAAGCGCAACCCTCTCTTCTCCGCTCCCCATCTCTTCTCCTCCTCCTCCTCCTCCTCCTCTTTCTCTTCTCCTCTGTTTTAATTATTATAGGAGGAAGGCGCATGTCTGACTCTCTAGCTGTACTCCGAAGGCTGCAATTTGTTGGACTTCCGTGTGTGCTTTGGTCTTTTCCTTTGACCGGAGTCATATAGAACAGATGGGATTCACCGAAATGTTTTCTTTCAGATATTTCAGGAAAAAAAAATTAACTCAATGCCTGTCTGTGATACTAAATAAATAGCTACTCGAAATTCGCATGCATGCATGATGTATACTAGTCAAAACTTGCAGCCGTACTATCAGAAACCAACAAATATAGTGCCATGTAATTGAGCTTTGTTCGTGATCAAGTGTAAGGCCAATCTGATGTCTTGTGGCTTCCTCTGCAGCCGTCCGTAGTTGGGAATACAGACGGCGATGGAGCGACGAGAGGTTGCGTCGTGGTGAGGTGAGCGCTGACGAACGAAGTGTTGATGTGAATACACGGAGGCTTTGAGCCTGTGTGAACTGCATGCGGCCACGTCACTGCTTCTCTTGTAATTTGCTCGTCTTCTCCGTTAACCATCCACACACCTGTTGTAGTAGTCGATCCACAGGGACAGGTCCCAGCAACCGGCATCCGTTCTGCGGTCTTCAGGAATATGTTCCGCTCATAATTGAGGTTGAGCCAATGCCTTGTAACTCTATGGACCGCACAGCACGAGGAATTGTTGTTACTTTTGTCACGTATCGGAATTATGTGTGGCATTTGCCGGCATGGCATCAAAGAAGTCTCCACCGATGGAGATGTGATGGCGATGGCGATGGTTTCCCTATTCGCCTGTGTTCATTAGATACTACTTGTCTCCAACTTCATCAAGTTTTTGATGTAAGTAACGATTAGTGTTTTACATGAGAAAACAAAAGGTTAGAAGGTGAGAATGGCTGATTGGATGATGGAGATGAAGACGGAGCTGATCACAAACCAAAGACATCAGAGAACCCACCACTGACCTGTCTTAGAATAAGACAGTTGCCACCATCCGGGAATTCTTTTCCTTTGGTTATCGTGAAGGTGCTCGATACGACAGGGTAACATGTCGTTTTCGATCTTAGCGGCCACAGTTTGCGTAGAACCTAACAAATGCATGGTCTGCCACCATATCCTTTGATGGCATCAACCTTACTCTTCGTGCTCATCTCAATGACATCATTGTGTGAAAAAGATTCAGGCAGCGATCGTTTCGAGTCTCCTCAGATGGCTTGGATTCAAATCTCCCCTGTTGTGAGAAGAGGGCGACAGAGGATACTACAACCTCAGCCTGAAACGGGATGATGGCTCCGTCCGTGCAGGCTCCAAATGGTCGCACGAATATCCAAAAAGGATCTTTACACATGCACGACTGATCCTCCTCAGCGTCGGCTGTCTTCTTCCTCTCTCTCTCTCTCTCTCTTGTATTATGTCCGAACCACGCACTGTCTTCACCTGTAAACGCTGCACATCATTACTGGTGCTTGCATCCATCTGACTTAGTCTACTGTGGTGGCTGCACTAGAAGACAGCGCTGGATGCAAACGACATCCCAGGAAAGAAGGGAGATGAGGACTGATCTATACTAGCGAGTACTATGCGAAGAGGCCTGGAGCCATAGAGCAGATTCGCTGTGAGACCCAGAGAACGAGCCCGGTCCGGTTCAAGCGGGGAACTTTTGCATAGTACTCGCTAGTGTACCATCGGGCATACAAACCAAGTAAGAGAGGTAGGTGAAGACAAACATCGGGGTGATGTGAAACATCTCCATCCGAATGGGCTTCGACACCAACCCAGCCCTCTTTCTTTTTGCCTTTCACGTAAAGCACTGCTTCTGCTTCATCTCCTTCATCGGATACGTGCTTAGTCTGAACAAAACCAGAGCATAGCCTCCGAAGCATGAATGACGACAACCTCTTAAGCCACAGTTTCTACTGCCATTATTCTCTCTCTTTCGTTGCTCGTCTGCTACTCCACCGAAGGGCCCGGCTCTGACTGTCTTTGCTTTTCCAACACCATTGCACGACTAACTTAAATTGCGAGGTTTCATGGTGCCGACTGCTGTGCATGGAGCAGCACTCCGCAGGATCTCTTCCATTTCCTTTCTACTTTCCCCCATTCCCTGTAAGGAGCTGAGAACACCTCGATTTGGCTACCTGGTGCAAGGGACGACCAAGCTCTTCAGCAACACCATGTGGCGCACTCATTTGGTCTCTCTCTCTCTCTCTCTCTCTCTCTCGCCTCTCTCTCGCCTCTCTCTCGCATACACACACATTTGCATGCTGTTTATAATATCTGTCCATAAACTACATAAGAAGTGCCCGCAAGAATGTTTTATGTCATTTGCACGTAAGCATACATCGGTTGATCGTGTATGCATGAAAGGTAGATGTCACCTAACTATAGAGTAGTTCTAGCAGTTCAATCTTCGAGAATAACTTTCGCAACAAGGAAATGGTTATGTAAGTGGCATGGCACCTGTTGTGTACGAAAATATGATGATGCTTGAAGTCCCACAGGTTTCTGGACATCAGCTACAGCTTTAACTTCAACACATCAATCTTTCATGAGCTGTAGGGTAAATTTGACGACACCGTGATGTCTGCGGAGGAGCAAACGATTCGAGCTGAACTCGAGACTGACATAGAAACGAATTTAGAAGAAGAGCTCAAAGATGATATATGCCGTCTCACGGTCAGCCTCCACAGACTGTACCTGCACAAGAAGGACATGAACGACAAGCTTACCTCATCGAACGACAACAGTACTGAAGCGACCACTGTGGTGAAGATAACGACGAAGACAGTGGGAGAGTACATGATGCAGATATATGAAAGCAAAACAACTGCTCTCGACGTGGTTAGACACTGCAGTTCTCGATCTAAAGCCACGCAAGGAAAGGTGTATGGCGGCAACAAGCAGACGGAATGGGCGAAGACTCTTCTCTCCACAAGCGGCTCTACTGTCGCCGCCGGCAAGAAGCATGGAAGCTTTGATCGATATGGTAAGTCTCCAAATGTCAAGCCTCTTAAAAAGGAAGGAAGGAGTTCGTGTGGTGCATCGAGTCAAACAAGCAAACCAAATGAGAGGAACAAAAAGAAGCTACTTGAATTGGGCTGGAAATACTAAGGAATGGTTGGAGCATTCTACCAAAATAAGATGTTGTTCAGTGAAAATGTATACTTCGGACTTAAAAGGAATTGTTCTTCAGACCCCTTTGCAAATGTATACTTCATAATCTGTCTTGCAGAACTTCTTCTGGCTCTTGTCATAATGCTGAAAACCATAGAGAAAACTCTAAACATACAAATGAATGAGGCATTATCAGGTAATAGATGTGATTGATGGAAATTGAGCTTATATCAGTCCAACCTACAAGTATATATATCTCCTGTTGATAAGAACTGTTCATTTTATGGTGATTTTGTGAGTGAAAAAGGCAGACCAGCTCAACAATCAATTTTCTTCACTGTTTCTCATCAGTATATATACTGGAATCATCTTAGAAAAGCCTCCATAGGTAGACATTTGAACAAACAAAACCTCACAAGCATGAATCTCGGACAAGATCAGAAAGGTCAAACAATGATTAACTAATCATTATGAGACTCAATTACTGTGGAAATGGATATATGGTGGCTGTTTTTTTCTTCAGATTCTATCCTCTAGTTGGCAAAGCAATTCAGTCACTATCTAAGAAGGTTGATATCAATCTAGATCTAGAAGATGAGATGCCAATTCTTCTTAGCTTCTGATAATTGCCTTTGGATTGTTCAAAGTTGATATATATAATTAACCTATTCTCAACATGATTTGTATTATGGATGAAGGACCAAGAAAATAATAAAATCAGAATACTATGATACTGTTATAAAAAATGCTTTCAATCAAGAAAATTGATGTAGTATTTAAACAAAAGATTCCCAAGTGCACACATACCATCTTGCTTCATGAACTATAGTCATATTTATAGGATCTAGTGGTAACTACGTCACTCCATCATGTCACTCATGATTGAGTTAGGTATAGGAACTACCCTATAACTTCTAGATCATAGGTCACTACTTAGAACATACTTATAACTACCTTGAACATGACAACTATCTAGATAACCACTATGAATCAATTCTCAATACTTCCCGTTGATTCATAGTTACATACACCGATTTGAGACATAAAATAAACATACTTCTGAATTGGAAACGACTTGGTGAGAATATCCGTAACTTATTCATCTATTCCACAATACTTCATTGCTATGGCTCCACTTGCTATAAGATCCTGGATAAAATGATAGCGTATCTCTATATCTTCATTCTTCTATGAAATATTAGATTTTTCATCATTATAATTGTTGTTTTGTTGTCATAAAATATTTTTATTGCTTCTTTTAGTTCTTAATAAAGATCTTCAAGAAGTCTTCTAAGCTCTATTGCTTGACAAGCTATTGTTACTTACTTTTTTTAACTCTATGGTATAGTTCCTGATTCAAGGCTAAAAATATTATCCAAAGTACTTTTTCTATTATCCAAAGCTCCTACCCAATCACCATCAATGAAACCAAATAATTTATATTTAAAATTATGAGAATACCAAATGAAGTTCCAACAATATAACACATAATTCTTTTAACAACTTCTAGATGATGTTTGATTGGGCTATGCATAAACCTAGATACTATACCAATAGAAAAGGTAATATCTGGTCGAGTATGAGTTAAATAAATCAAACCTCCATCCAAACGTCTGTAGTAACTTACATTTGTCAAACATATACCATCTTCAAATTTTAATTTCTTATTTATATTTATGGGTGTTGCTGCAACTTTGTAATTAATTATATTAATTTTTTGAGTAGATTCATTGCAAACTTTCTTTATGAAATAAAAATTTCATCTAATCTTTGCTTTACTTCTAACCCAAGAAAATAGTACAGTAGACCTAGATCTCACATTTCAAACTTATTCATTATGCATTTTTTAAATTCTACCACAAAAGAGTTAGATGAACCTATATATATAATATTATCAACATAAAGGCAAACTATTAGAATATTATGTTTACTTTCATTCTTTAGATAAAGAGTATGTTTATTATTACTCCTCTTAAATCTATTTTGATGAAAATAATAATCAATTTTACTATATCATGTTTTTGTAGCTTGTTTAAGCTCATAAAGAACTTTCTTTAGCTTATATACCTTTTATTCATGTCCTTTAACCAAAAAACATTCAGGAGTAACAAAAATCTCTTCGTGTAAATCTCCATTTAAAAATATAGATTTTATATTAAATTGATAAATAAGCCAACTTAAGTAAGCAGCTATAATTAAGAAAGTTATCATGGTTTCAAATCTAACAATTGGAGAAAAAATATTATTAAAATTAATACCTTATTGCTACGAATATCCTTTTGCTACAAGCCGAGCCTTATGCTTTTGGATACTTTTATCTGCATTATACTTTGTTTTGAACATCAATTTTAATCGAATAGCTTTCTTTTCTTTCGGTAGATCCATTAGCTCCCAAGTTTCATACTTCTCAATTGACTTGATTTCCTCCTTCATTGCTTTTTGTCATTTTTCTTTTTCAATTGCTTCCTCATAGGATTTGAAATAAACAAAGCAAATGTTGAGTCATAAATTTCTGTTAGTGATTTGAATTTTTCTGGAGGGGTTTCATACGAGGAATCAGAATTTGAACTACTACTAGGTGAGGTTGACGATGAACTCGTTGGAGCTAGATCTATCACTAAATTCTATGGAGTGTCTAGTTCTATTGGAATCTGAATTTGTGTTCCACTTTCATTAGTCTCCCAATTCCAACTTGCCCTTTCATTAAACATAATATTTCTGTTAATAATAACTTTGTCACTAACATGATTATATAATTGATATGCTTTGGATTGTAAAGAATAACTAAGTAAGATATATTTTTCAGATTTTTTATCAAGCTTATGATGGTTTTATGAATTTACTAAAGCATAAGCAATATAACAAAAAATTTCTTAGATGGCTTACACTTGGTTCTATACCATTCCAAGCCTCAAAAGGAGTTTTGATTCATAATAAACTACTGTTGCAACTACTTCTGCCCAAAATTGATTTGGAAGGTATTTTCCTTTAAGCAAACTTCTTGTCATTTCAATGACAATTCGATTCTTACGTTTAGCTACACCATTTTGCTTCGGTATATATGGTGCTGTCAATTCTATATTAATACCATTTTTTTTACAAAAAAAATTAAACTCATTAGATAAAATTTCACTACCTCTATCTATTCGAAGTATTTTTATACATCTACCACTTTGTCTTTTTACAAGTGTCTTGAATTTTTAAAAATTATCAAATATTTTAGATTTCAGTTTTAAAAAATATACTCAACTCATGCAATTATAATCATTATTAAACAATAAAAAATATTGACTTCCACTAAATAATTTTATATTCATAGGTCCATATAAATTAGCATGAATTAATTCTAGATAATTAGATGCTCTCTATACTTTTCCAATAGGAAATAATTTTTTACTTTATTTGTCATAATTGCATCCTTCAAATACATCTAGTGTATTAATTTTAGATAATTCAAAAATTATTATTTTTAATTTAATAACCTTAAACCTTTAATGTTAAGGTATTCATATCTTAAATGCTATAAATTAGACTCATGCAACAAGTGCATGCTTTTTAATATTTGAAATATCAAGTGGAAACATCTTGTTTTATGTCATGCAAACATTTACCATAATTAAACCAGATTTTTTTATCTTTAATAGTATATAAACCATCATTAAATATAACTGAATATTTATCATCTATCAATTATCCAACACTCAATAAGTTATATGATAAACTAGGGATAAAAAAAATATTATCAAGATATTTTACTTTCCCTTGGCTTGTATTCACTTCAATTGTTCCTTTTTTTTTCCATTTAGATTTGCTTATTATCTCTAAGTCCAACTTTGAATTTATAAATTTCATCAATATCTCTGAACATTGATCTTATGCTTGACGTATGAATAAAATATCTACTATCCAAAACTAATATATACTAATGAAACTTAATGAATAAGTCATAAACAAGTTACTATTTTCTTTATTTTCCTCCACATAACTTGCTTGTGTTTCTCTTTTCCAACAATTTATGACTAAACTTTTTAGAATAGTGACATTGGATTCCACTCTTGTAGTTTTTTTTATCATAATTTGATTGCTTCTGTTCATCATGCTCATTAAAGTGTCTTTTTCCTCTTCCATTTCCTCTACTACCAAATCCTCCTATGTCATATCCTCTTCATATTGATTTTTTATCTTCTTTTGAAGTAGAAGACTTTCTCTTAATTTAAAATATTTTTTTTTATTTTTTTTAAGTGACATATTTAACCTTGCTTCATGTGCTTGTAAGGAATCCATTAGTTCATCAAATGAAAATATAGATAAATCTTTTAACTCATCAATTGTGGTAATATGATCAAATTTTAGAGTTAAACTTTTCAAAACTTTTACAATAATTATATGATCATGAGGATGTTCATCATAAGATTTTATTTGACTAACAATTTCAATCACTTAGAGAAAGAAAATCTTACACCGATTCATTGCTTTTCATGAACAAAATTTCGAACTCACGATGAAGGGTTTGAAGTTTTATTATAATCATCCTTGATGAGCATTGAAATCTATTTTGAAGTATATCAAGCTTGCTTTGAGGTTGTCACTGTTGCAATTCTTGAGAAGATTATCTCATGTATAACTTGTTGAATAAAGAACAATGTCTTTGAGTCATTCTTTCTATTCTCCCTCGTTTCTTCATTTGGATATACATTTTCATTCTTTATTAAGTCCCAAAGATCTTGAGACTTAAATATAATCTTCATCTGGATAATCCAAAATTCATAACATTTGCTCGAGAAGATGAGAATAAGAGATTGAGACATGAAATTACCATTAAAAGTCATAATGCCCAATTCAGATTAAAACTTAGTTCTATTACCACAAATATTGAGGATGAATGAGCAAGGAAATGATAAAAATAAAATACTATAATGTAATTAAAAAGAATACTTTTAATCAAGAAAATCGATGTAGTATTTAAACAAGAGGTAAGACATAGAACACTTACAAGATATTCTCAAGTACACATATATCATCTTACTTTATGAACTATTATCCTAATTATAGAATCTAGTGGTAACTATCTCACTCCA